CTGCTTACATTCAGTTTTAGAGCAAATAAGAGGAACAACTCAGAGGGTGTGCCTTTCTTGGCACTCAGTACACACTCAAGAGTTAGAGGTGAAAAAAAATACATTAGATCATTTTGTCCATCCTTCTGTCAGTGGAAGATAGTCCCCTGTAGTCTATTTAAGTTCTTTGATCACTCTAAGTTTTCTGTATCTCCAAAAATAGAAGTTCCACCCATCCCCTAAAGAGATCATTTTAAACTCTACTAACATTCTGGTTTAGGACGTTTTTGCTAAGTATTTGCTTTACAACTTTCTACTTCAAAGTGTAACGCAAATTAACGAGATGCTTCTTTAAACAGTTTACAACTCACTAACAGCTCTACAAACTTCACCCCCTTTGGGTACTCAAACATTTTTTTCTTCTTTGCTCAAATAACACAGTATTAAGTATGAGATCATTCAGGTTTTGTTAAGTATCTTACAGAAATAGATTCTTGCTTGTCTGACCCAGAAAAATAAGTATTTCCACATGGAAAATATTACCAATTTTAGTAAAAATGAAGTATTAGGCATGCATATGGAAAATCCAGCTTGTGTATATACACAACTAAAAAGACTTATTATTTTGGACAATTCCATAGGAAATCAATATTGAGGAAACATTCTGATGCTATTTCAAGTCTTCAGTCACTGGAGTGCTCTAAGACCGTATGTACAATAAAATTTTATTAAAAGCTTAATCATCCATTAAACAGGCAATCTATAAAGACACATCTGATGCATCCGCCATAGTAGGTGTCACTGCTGAGCTCCTGCATGTCAATTCAGAATTCCCTAATAGTGCGTATTCCGTTTTGACTGAAGGACCACTGTATCAGCTCTACCTTAATGAGATTTTTCTTGATGAATCTTACGTATGTTTACTCTTACCAACCACCAGCTGCTCAGACAGTGCATATTACTAATGGGGAGGACTCTAGCCTTCAGCTTCTCATGGGTTTTATTCATCTCATGCCTCCTGTTTAAGGCTGCCATCCAAATCAACTTCCTCTTATTATGCTCCCTGTATTCCTTACTATCTCTCTTTCAGCTTGAATTTTTCACAGAAAAGGTTGTTTTGAAGTTCTATCATCAGTTCCCCTTAAGGCTAAAACTAGAGTTTTCCTATGGAAAACACCTTGGTACTAGTGATTCAGAACAGGAGGGCATATACAAACTCAGTTGTATTGAAAGAAAAAACCCAAAGCCAGGTTGGCCAGTTTGCTGTCTCACCTGGTGTCTTAGAATTCCCCGCCCCCTTCCCCCCAACACATTGTTATGGGGATTTGGGAGCTACCCAAACTTAAAGTCAGGAAGCAGGGCCTTCAATTCATCTCCATCCTCTCTCACAGACTGCAGAAAAGTTTAAATACTACAATCCCATGGAATTAAGTTACTTCAAATTGAGAGCTTTCATTCTTCTGAGACTCAACATTTGAATGCATGCTTCTGAAAACAGTAATAATAAATAATAGCAGCAGCAGCTCTGTTGGGCTTCAGGGCTCCCATGCTCTGTAGGACTGTGGAAGTTTGCAATTTTTCTAACTAAAGCTGTAGTGCAAAGGAGAAATTAAATAAAAGCTTACAACAGAAACAAAATACTCCATATCCTTGGAACTGGTATTTTTTGTAGTGGAGCTCCCTGTTGTCCAGCCTTTCACTGTCAGAGCAGGAATTTTTCATATATTTCCATGACAAAGGTACAGTCCCTCACGGAACTGTTTTTACCTGTGCAACCTCTTCAAAGTCTTCGTGGCGTTTCTGCAAAGCTCTAGCCCGATGCAGGGATTTTCCCACTCCTGTATGTTTGCTAAGAAAAGCTTCTCCATGGTTTTCAATCCAATCCAACACCTGTGGAACAGAAGAGACACACACAAAACCTCTGAGTGGATGTACTGAATGCTGCAACAAACATAGGGAACTATACTGCTGGACAACAACACAGTATTGCCACTGAAGGACATCAATTTCATCTCATTAACTTTTCTCAGGGCAATAACTAGCTCTAACTAGCCAAACTGTATGATTTAAGATTATGTGTTTATTTTGAAGCCTACCAAGGACAACCTCATTTCTACACATTCATCAATTTGACAGTAATCTGATCCCAGCGACTGGACCCCTTGTGAGGGTCTCTCTGTAATCCATTTACGCCTTCAGCTGACATTTTTCTGTAACGTAACACTAATGGACTTTACACATTCCCCAACAATGCTGGTGAATAACACAGTGATTTTTTTATTTTAGATGAGAAGTCACTTTTCCTACTACATATCATTAAATCTAGAAGAATGATTCAGTAGTAGGATTTTTAATTAACCCAATAAAATTGAGTTGAAATCATTATGAGATGAATGACAATCTCTGCATTCAGAGCATATGAAGGCTTCTGCCCAATTCTGAAGAAGTATCTCCTCAAAACACCAGATAGGCATAACTGCATACTGTAAATTTTATAGCTGAAAAAGTGAGGAACAAAAGACATTTTAAGGACATTAAAGCTTCTACTACGATGACTGGGCTGACAGCTTTATAAATAGTAAAAACTGTACATGTAATTAGTTCCTGCCAGTTAACACAAAGGATTACTGCACACATACCACGTTTCTGATGGGTGAACGAACAAAAACATCTGGTCTCTCTCCAAACTAATACATCTTAGCCGTATCTTCATTCGTTCATTAGCTACCATGCATACAGTATTTAACTCTTTAGAAGAAACTCAGAGGTTCAAGAATGCTGTTCAGAATTAAAGACAACTGCAGGTAAGCCATTTTCTTAAGTCAGTTAACCATTTTTATACAGTATTTATGTAATGGTATGGAATACTTTACCTAATATTTATCTCCAGTGTTCTTTTTTCTTTAAAAACAGAGTATTTTATTTTGAATATACCTGCCAGAAACCTGTACCTTATGTCTCCTTATCTACTCTAATTGGAGTATCCCTACTCTAATTCCTGAAGCTGAGTTAGGTTTCTTTTCCCCTTTTCATGTACTGAAAGCATTTGACACCTTGCATAACTAAAGACAGACTTTTTTTCTTTTGCTTCCAAACTCGAAAACCATCCTGCAACATCACTCACGGCTACATTCAATGCACATGCAAACCCACACACTATTCCCATACAAAACATCCATGCTTTCTTTGGCATACCAAATGAAACCATCTGGTATGATTCTTCTCATTTATCTTGACTGTTAGAGTATTTTTTGCTTTGCAAACTCTCTCTTACTGGACATCTTCGAAAGAAGAAACAGTCCTATAATGCCACATAACACAGCCATCTCAAATCACCAACACTTCCCTAAAGCTCCATGGCATGCACTTCAACTTATGCAATGTTTGGCAATAGGAGAAACAAATAATTATTTCTGAGTTTTAGGTCAATGTCAGTTTTCATTTGCTTCTTTCAAGGAAAGTGTTGATCAGAGAAAGTAGTGTAAGGAGCCAAACACGGTCTCAGTTATCTGTAAAGTTTGTATTACCAATGCCTTTGACTAGTTTCAGAAGACTATTCTGCTTTTCTCATTATTAAAAGAGCTAAAAAGAGAGACATGTTTGGATGAGAGAACTAGACTGGACTCTGGAGACTACTAACAGTTACAAGCTAACAAATGAAATCAACAGCAAAATCTGCCCTGAAAAGCATGGGATGAAAAGCAGAAAGCAGCCCAGGGAGTGTGATTTTTCTCCAAATAATGCTCAGAAACTTCAAGAGAAGTAACAGTCATCGAAATCCAGTACAAAGATGATGACATAAACCAGTCATTGCTGCCTCTAAGTGAAATCAGTACAAATATAAGTCTTAGAAGTGCTCAGTCTTCTTACCTTGGTTCTTAAACCTGCCCTTCTTTGCCTGCCCATGGCAGGGAGGTTGGAACTAGATGGTCTTTAAAGTCCCTTCCAACTCAAACCATTCTGTGATTCTATGATTAATAAAACCAAGGAAGCACTCTTTATTGGCAATTTCAGAGCATGTAAAAGCAGAGTCACAGTTAAGGGATGCTATTCTTGCCCATCAGAGGTTTTGCATAACACTTCAACCAAATGACACCACCATTACCTGGCACTGGTATTAGCCATCTGCCAATCTTAATGGATGCATTTTCTTCCTCTTCCTGGGAGAGATAAGAGTTACAGAAACTGTCGTACCAACCCACTAAGGACTCCTTTATTAATGCTGAAAGCACATGGAATTCACTCCAGTAGTTCAGTAATACACAGGAGTTTAAGAGGCTCAATAATATTCAGTGAAAGGGTGAATAATAATATCCTCCACTGCAGCAACTTGCTTCAACGATGCAATTAAGCTATAACTGCAGCCTCAGCAGAACAACCCTTATGCCCAATATACAGGATCTAGAAGAATCCTTATTCTTCTAGCACCAACACTGAATATTCACAGATTCACAGGGTGGTAGGGGTTGGAAAGGACCTCTAGAGACCATCTAGTCCAAACCCTCTGCCAGAGTAGGATTACCTACAGTAGATCATACACAATAAATTACTATAGAAAGATAGCTTCATCTGGACAAATTCCTTGCTCATGGCTGTAAAATACGTGGTTTGCATATGCTGCTAGCAGAAATAAACAATATTATCTTTTGCAGATTTAACGTGTTCGTTTTCACCAGTCTCACATTACTCTCCAGTCTTTATCCCCCACCCCTTTACCTACTTTGCAGACACTCACTTTTCTGATCCACCACTTACCTGGTGCTGACGTAACATTCAGAAGGAGAAGATGGAGATCTCTGCATTTCTAATCTTCAGATAGTTAAAATGTGGAAATACTCTCTCCCAAAAAGAACCATTTTAGACTGGAACCGCCTCAAAAGCCACAAGGGAATCACCCAGTGAAATCAGTGTTATGTTGATGCTGAGCGAGTAGCAAGCATTCCTGGCCCACCCTTCATTAGTCAAGGCTGAAACAAGTGACTCTTACAACAAAAACTTGGATAGAGTCTTTAAGGCAGGCAGATCAAGGAAGGAGAAGCAGCACATTTACCCAGAAGGACAGGGAAGTCACTCAAGGTCAGTAAGACCTAATGAAAGTATGGAAAAAAAACCCTACTACAAGCATGTTTGACTAATCTCTGACTTGCAAGCCATCAGGAGTGTTTGTCAGGCCCCAAAACGTTCACCGTATGAGTCATCAGCATCACTGTACCAGAAACACCATCTTTACATTCGATTTTGACCTTTCACAAAATCCCACATCGCTACTGCAAGTTGGCTTCATTGCTTCCTATCAGAACCATCAGAGCCAGCTGCTTTCCTTAGGTGATAGGCTGGTGGGTATTATACACTTCGTAAGCTCATTTATTCTTAAGCATGAAATTATTGTTTTATTAGCACTTTTTACATTAGCAGGACTATCTTCAACAATTAAGTGCAACAGTCAATGACCTGACTTTTTTTTTTTTTAATTAAAATAAATACACTCTTTTTTGGTGTTAATATACAATCAAACCAGGAACTCAATCTCCTGGCCTGCTTCTGCTGTCTGAAGTCCAACTCAGAATTCTGTTCAGTTTAAGACTGTCACAGGTTTTCACATTTCAGATTTGCTGTAATTCACATCTCATCTACTATTACTATTTCACATGCTACTTTCCTTACTGCTTGCTTCAAGAAATTAGCAGATGATTCCTGGTGTACACAGCCAGCACCACAGTGGTTTTGCTGATTTGGAAAGCTCCACCAGAAACACTTTCCCAATACTGAACATAGGGGAAAAGAAGAAAGAAACCAACCAGTAACACAAAATGCAACACAGCCAATTCCCTCCTCCAATTCAGCTCTGTCACTCACTTAACGCTTCCATGAACTGACGTATTTCATTAGCCAGCAGAAAACTACGCCACGAGAGGGAAGAGGAGGAAATCGGACACTTACGCTGGACACTTACAGATGCCCTTACAGCGTACTTGGTTGATTGCCACTATGTGCAATTTAACTCTAAACAGTGGAAGAGAGATACACTTAAGTTTATTTTGACATAAACCCCCCCCAACATTTAACTTCACTGACAATAATTAAATTGTTTCTAAATCATGCTAGATAATCTTAATTGAATTTTTTATGGTTTGAAAAAGACTAAGAAGCCCAAGAGAATGTCCAAATGCAAACTAAAGTACTTTACAAAGTTGCTTTGGAGCTCTACATAAACCACTCCAGAATTGCCGTGGACAGAAATTTAACCAATGCCTCATAACCAAGTAACCTCATGCACTCAGTGGTGTCAGTGATTATTCAACTGAAGGGCTAACATTTGTCACATAAATTAGATGATTCTGATAAGGTCATTTTGGTTTTATTTTGCAAGGAAAGAAAAAAAAAAGAATTATTATTATTCAAGATCCCTTTTCTCCCCTGATGGATTTTCAAAGCTCAGGGAGCTATAATCTGCCACAGCAAGGCTATTTTAGGGAAATATCATTACGTGCTAGCCGTTATCTTTAAGGCATCTGCCCCTGGCTATTAATTTGTCTAGTATGGATGTTGAATTATCATTGTCTTACAGCATCATCTGCCCTGAAATATAAATATGAAAAGTTGCATTACAAAAGGGAACATGAGCCACAATTCACATGGTGATTCACAAGGCAGTGCCCAAAGTACACCAACATCTGGAATTAACCTAACAAAGAGCTATACTTCCACATGCAACAGTTCAGAAGCCTCCAACATGGATGTTAACAGCCATTACAGGGATAAACTAAAGGACAATCCAGTCTCTGGCAGTGATATCTCCTGGATATTGAGGGAAGATCTTACAAACATGGCAAGCAGGGGCTGGCATCTGTTATGTAAGATCTAGTTTGAAATCTAGTAATTGGTTGATAAAGATGTGCATTAGCACCAAAGGCCGCAGCTTCAGATTGTCAAGAGAGTATCTTAACGCATGACCTGCCTTGCAAAGCACGTAGGGAAACCAGAGGCATGCACAGGAAGAAAGAAATTTCTCCAACCGGAAGGTAAGGCATGTACTGAATAATTAACCCGCTTGAGCCAACTGGTTCATAGTGAAAACTTCTGGTATACTCACATGCATGATTTGGATAACGAATTCTTGATACCAGAAGTAACAAAAATAGGTAAAGCTGTCTACTTTGTCGTTTTCCAACCTGTGAGCATTTGATGTTAAACACAGCAGTTCCAAGGGCTGATAGGTCTCATACAGGTCTCACACAAAGAAGGAAAATCCAGCTTCTTGCTGAAGGATGTGGTGGTGACCCTACAGCGACTTTAGTCTAATGATGGGTTATTTGCAAACTTCAAAGAAAAAAGCAGTCTCAGAGGTAACTCCTCCACTCCAAGAGCCATGACTTTGGAAGGACCAAAAAAGAAGGAATTCCTACAAACATTTTATTACATCCAAGATAATAATGGCAAAGGCTAGGAACAGCACAATACAACACTAACATTTAATGAACACCTTCCACCAGGAAATAAACTGTCTGCAGCCTGGCCTACAGACCTGAAACTTGCATTCTGTATCTGGCAGATAACCTCAGGAGATCACTTGACCTAGGTTGCCTAAGTAGGTCCTACTTGAATTCAAACTGGAGGAGAAAGGCCCAGGATCCCATCTGCACTTGTTGGCAGTAGGCTACCACTGAGAGGACCTGCATTTTTCCCTATGAAAAGCAAATCATTGTGTTAATTTCAATTTCTGAAGATTCCTTATGAAGGTTTTCAAGTTTAAGAGGTGATTCTTTTGTGGACTATGCCTCACTAGTTTTGACAAGTGCCCTTCACTGACTACTCATGGACTCTCCTGACTAGCTACTATTTCTGTAGCAATCTTGATTAAGGGCCTCTAGGATTTATACAGTGGCCAAACCATGTTTTCAGTTTGGTTCTCTACGCCCTTCCTGACATTCATAACATCTCACTTTTTTTTTGCCAACTAACATTTTTCATGTCTTTCTGCACCCTTTGTCACATTTGACTATTGAGAAGGTGGACAACCGCCTGCAATTCAATATATCCCTCTTTTCACATCAAAACTTAAGTTGTAATAGTTTTACACTTAATTTAGTGCGTAAATATTTTTTTAACTATTTTCTTTAACTTATAGGAAGAGATAGGCAACGCATATAGAACAAAGTTGAGCTAACAAGGTTGCTCATTCTCCCTACTGTCTGCCTGAATTAAGTATCTTTGTCTACTGCTGTAAATGATGGAAACCAGTTTTTTAACTCCCAACTGCTCACATCCAGCATCTTCTTGAAACAGATGACTATGAGAAATTTGGCTTGAAGTGCAACTAATTCGGAAGAAACAAGGTTAGTTTCACCAGAATACATGACTGGCTCATTCTGGAGTTCCTGATTTGTGAAGACCTTTACACAGAAATGAAAGAACATGATCAGCAACTACTGGCCATCTTTACCTTTTTATGAAGATGAGCTATAAAGGGATAAATTACTAATGTCTCTGCCAATGGCAGCCTAAGGGAAACATTTTCTGTTTATTAAAAATCAGTCAAAGGAATTCTTTACAGCTTTACCTTTTTAAGCTGAAGTCACGTCAGACATATTAATGTCTTAACTACTAACTTTTATTGACGTCATCATAATAATAAAAATATGGCAGCTAATAACAATTAATCCAAGAACAGTGTCATTGTCAGAAAGTAATCTTATCTGTAATTTTTATACCTCCCTCTTTAGCGTACAATTTTCAGGTTTTAAGGAAACCTGATTAAGTTAATTAAGTATCACTGAGGAGTTGAAACTAAAAATTTGTTACAGAATAACACTAGATTTTTCACATGTTACTCCCACAAGTCTGACACTTCAAGTCCAGAATTTTACCTAGAATGTGAATGTCAGCTTCCAGCACAAGCTCAAAATAGCTGTCTAGAATAAAAAAATTTTTCCTCCTATCTGACTTCAAGAAAGAAGTTAATTTAAAAAAAAAGAAAAAAACTGAAGCAGAGCTGACTTAGAAATATAATTGCTACCCACAGCAGCCAGTACTCTCTGATAACACAGAGGACTTGGAATCAATCAGTCAATCCCATGCCAACTATTAAACTGTTCAATGAAAGTGCACAGGGTTTGGCAATCAAAACCCACCTGAACCCACCTGTCATTGCAACCAGCATCAAATCACAGGCTGACAGAAGAGAAAGGGATTTAGACACCATGAAATAAAACCTATAAAACCTACCTGTTGAACGTCCTGTTGAAAAACACACAGCTGAAGCCGTTGGTGCAAGCGGACCTTTCGATGCTGCCAAATGTTTTCCAGTTGGCGCTGGTGGTGCAGTACTTCATGGATAACATCCAGAACATGATGAACTGCTTTTGAGTAGTTGGCAGAAGCGGTGAGGGAATCGGAACTCCCAGGAGTCAAAGGTCTCTGAAGTTTGTCAAGCAGTGACTTTCCATCTTGGCTCACCTGGCCAACAGAAAGGATGAAGCATTACTTGTCTTGCCAAAAGCTTGTGAGACTTATTTCATTGCCCACCCCCTCTCCCATTTCAGATGTCTTTAAGAACTCAGGGAGCAGTGATTTTTTTGGATTTTTTTTATGCCAGGCATGATTACATGCACGTGTTATAGAGGGAGAATATACTTTTTCCTTCTATGTAACACAATTTTAAGAAGTAACACTCTTCTAATAACAACCTGCCTTCTGATTTTTCAATTACCTTAAGAGTGCTTTTCCTTTCAAGCTGGTGGGGTGGGTGTGTTTGGATTTTTTTTTTTAAATCAGGTTAAGTCTAACTTAGAATAAATATTCTTCAGCTCTTTCTCCTGTCAACGAAGCACCTAAAATTAAGCATTTGCCCAGAATAATCCTTCTAGGAGCATTATTTCCTGTGAAGCTGAACAGGGAACTTACTTTCTATAGGTTAGTATTAATTTGATTAATACTTTCAGACCAACAGACAGGAACTTGGGACATTCTTTGATCTGACATGATTTACAACTTCTGAATTATTACTGTTACTGGTAAGCCAACGGCAAACTGTTGTTATGACAAACTTAAACCTGATGCAATCACTTAAAACCTTTCCATGCAGCACAAAGATACTCTTTTCCAAAATGTGTTTACCTACTGATGCTGACAACAACAAGACACATCAGTCATTTCTAGTCGCCACTCAAACCACAGCAAAAATACCCAGATTTACCTTGGATGCTAATTAAAAAGCAACAATCCTATCTTATCTAGCCACTATTTACGTTTAGCACTTGCCAAGGCTGTTGAAAGCACTTTTCATTGCCATTCAACTCCTCTGTCACTTTTAACATAAAGCTCAGAGAACTGTTACAATTCAGTATTCTTCAGCTATCTCTAAAGAACTTCTCTAATAGCTTATCTAACAGTCAGGAAAAATTCATCCAAAACCGAAAGACTGGAGTGTAAACAATAGTCTGAATGCATCAAATCAACAACTTGTCAGAAACAGAAAATTTGTCAAGACCTTCCCCCAGTGGCTATTTTGAACAATTTTCACTAAATCTTAGTGAATATTTTAAATTCGGCATTCAGTAGTCAAACAGATCTGAAAATTCTTTTGTAACAGTTCACAAGTGAGTTCATCGCTCTATTCCACTTTAAGCTTTTTTCGTTTCAGTAATAAGTATCTATGCAGAGAATGAAGCTCTCTAGAGCTCCTATAAAGTCAAGTCAGGTAGAAAAAGAATATAGTCCATAGTAGTTATTGTAATGACGATTTTTTTCTTTTCTGCATCCAAAGCAATTATCTAGTACAAGTGCCTCAAATATTTCAAGATAATGGACTTCAATTATCTCTCCAGAGTCCATGAAATTTTTTGGGGAAAAAATTAATTAATTGTGACAGCCCTGTGATCTGGTAAGTTCATTAGCTATACAAGCAAATGATCATGCTCATTTCCTTTTTGGAGTTAACACAGCAAAGTTACTTTTCTAGTAATAAACACTAATTATCCTCAGTAAAATAAGTCTAGTCTAGTCTTAAAAGCATTTACTTTCTTAAAATTACTGTCTTCTACTTTGCAACCAAGTCATGTTGTCAAGACATTGTAATCTAAAATGAATGACAAAGTGTTGTAATTTCCAGTGTTCCTCTCTCCCCGCTGTTCATTCATCATGAAATGAAAGGAGCTCCGTGCTGTAACAGAAATGAACTCGTACATCTAATAATGATAAGTAATGGCTCTGTAATATCTTTACACAGAAAGACAACTCCATCAATCTTCAAAAAAGAATGTGTGTTTAAATAAGGCAAAATAAAACCCTCTGTCCAGAGGAGGAACATGACTTGTACATACACATACAACTATTATTTCTGCACTAATACTGGTTGCTGAAGACAAAGCTATTCCCAGGTGGGGAAAAGTAATGTAAAATCAGAAGGCAGGCACCTAATGTTTGGGGTTTTTTTTCTGAGCAGTAGCAACGAAGATTTAGTTAAAATCTCTAACTATCCCAGAGTCAAAATCTTCAGCTTTTAAACCCTAAATAAATTTTCAAGGTATTTACCAGAGCAATCCCATAATCTACCCATCTAGTGAATTTTCACTCTGCATCACCAGGAAGCAAACAGTATTAAACATGGTAATCCACAGTATTTATTTACACTTAACAGCAGGCTCTAATTCAGTCACATCTCTGATGAAAAAAAAACCCCACAAAGAACCCCAATCCAAATCAAACAAAAAACATTCCACTGTTTCAACTGCAATGTTTTATAATCATTATTCCAGACAGCCCTACCCTTACTCCTTGCTGCACTCTTGTAGAGCATGCACCTCAGATTGCTTTCTTTCACACAAATCTGCTACAGACATGTTACATCTCTGTCCTTTGTTTGGCAAAGGAATCCTCCCAGTGAACAGAGGCTCTAATGAAAAGAAAGCGCCCTACAAAGCCTGCTCTCAAGAATGAGTTAAAACAGGTACACGTAGTAAGATCACCAGTTTTATCACCGAAACTGTGCTTCAGCATGTCACTACATCAGCTGGCATAGCAAGGTGGCATGTACCAGGAATGGGGTATCAGTGTGTATTTCACAGTAAAGAAACAAAACTCACAAGAACTAAGGACTCCTGAGCCATGGTAATAGTCTACACAGACCCTAAGATGGCAGGTCTTCAAAAAAAAAAAAAAAAAAAGAATACCCAGCTAGCCTCCCTTCATGTGTTTCAAGGATAGTTTCATACTGCTATTAAAAGGTTGTTTTAATTTACATTTGCATAGTACTCACTTAGTACACTGCATGGATTGTTTGTACCACACAAGGTCCCATCTTACCTTTTTAATTTCTTTCAGAAAATTAAGAAAAAGCCTGAAAATTTGACTATTGAACAATAGTAGCAAAGTTCAGTATACTACACTGAAAAAAAAGCCTGGCAGTTGAGTTTCCATCTAATGTACTGTGCAACAAGCAGCGCCAGTTCATGACCCAGCCTTAACCTTACAGCATTTTATCCAGTCAGCAACCTAAGGAAACAAAGACGACACTCACCTCAGAGTAAGCCAAGGTAATATGCTCGTATATCCCTTGATGATGATGGATAGCATCTTCTAAATCTTGCAGTTCTGAGGGAAGCTCCACCTCACCACAAGCTTTACACCATGAGTCCACATTGCTCATGTACTGCAACAGGGAAATAACATTCTGCTTAATTTTGGGTTCTATCAAGAAGTACACATACGTCAGTAATACAGCAAAGGCCTGACATCTGTGTGACAGCCACTGAAGAGACCTTTTTAAGGGAAAAATGTTTAACGTATTTCTCTCTGCGCTGACCAAAACAAAGCATATCTCAGAACAGAAACAAATATTCAAGCCTGAGTATACTTGTGTAACTTCTGGCTATATGGCAGTGTGAGCCGTTCACAGACAGCTCAGCCGTATGCCGGCAGCCTTCAGAACCAATTGAACTGTTAGCAATACTCACGCTTCAAGTTAGTCTTGCTCCTTTTCCTGACTTTGCAGCTAAGTAGTTCACTTCACGCTATACCTACTATTTCAAATTCAAAGCCAATTAAGGTCTTGTCTACACAAAGAGGTAAAACGTGCTACAACTTTCAAGTCCAGGCCCTCAGCTCTTATCCATCAACTGTCTGTGCAGATACTCATGGTGCCACGAGGTATCACCTCACCTTTTTTAAGTCTTCAGAGAAAACCAAGTTACTTCACATATGCACACACACACACAAAGAATTAATGGTGAACTGTTCACCGAAACACTCCAGAGTTGTCTTTTGCTGGAAAGAGATCATCAAGGAGGCAAAGCAGTGTTAGAGCACAGCAAATTCACACCTCAGTCCCCAAAGCACTAACTTCGACAGCAGAAAAACACTAAATCCATTTGGCAAGCTACTACAGCAGCAAGCGTGTAAAGGATTTACAACTTAAGCACAGGTCTCTCAGGACTAACACTGAAGTTTGAGCACACAGCACAGCAGCTCAAGTCAAGCCTTTCAGGGGAAATTGGGGATACAACAGACTCTGTTCTGCAGAAAAGTTATCTTTGATGCTTAAGCTGTCTTAACAGACAAGGAACTGCCATCCTAGTAGTATACACAGCAGAAGTTCTGTCAACTTATTTTTGACAGCTAGGAGGCATGAATTTTATACCCTCATTATGCCAGGAAAGGAAAAAGGAAAAGTGAATCTCTTTTTCTAGGAATTTTCATAGCTGTTAAACTTAGTACAGCCAAGCACATGTGGCACCTTTAAACTGACTTTTTCCTCTATTCACGTCAAGTTCAAGCCTCAAAAGTTTTAAGAGATCAAGCCATTTCTCTTATCACATGTATCACAATTCCCAGAGCACATGGGGTTTGGGTTTGTTTTTTGTTTGGTTTGTTGGGGGTTTTTTTAGGAAAAAAGTAATCCACAGACCATTTCTGGTACACCATTATTGTTTGAAAGTTAGAGGATGCGTGTTTAGGATACTTACTTAATTCTTATTTCATCAAGGGACAATTTAAAACATCTATAATGTTAAGCACTGAACATGAAAAGAAGCTCCCTCCATATGGGACCACAGAGCTATACCACTCAGCAGACACTGCTAGGTGGGTGTACTCTTCATTCTGTCTGGCAGCAGGCAGTGACACAACACTTACCTGCACTTGCAAGGGAATATGTGCATTCAAGAATGGCATGTTATTTCTTTGGCTGCTTATTTTTAATCTTTTTTTTTAATGTCTCTAAAGGGGTGATTCCTCTCATCCCAAACCCTCTTTCCTTGAACTCACTCTCCACTGTTAATGAAACAGGTAACATATCACAGGCCTGGTATCTTACAAAGCAACTATGACAATCCATCATAGCTAATCGTCAAATGAAAACTGCAGAATGAGCAATTAAAGAGTTATTAAATTAATCTCAGCAGATGCTGCACTATTTTTTCCTCATTCTTCTCCTGTTTACACTCACAGTTACTGCTGAAGAAGGTGACAGCAACCCTTACCACAGTTGCCCAGGGCGCGCACACACAATTTGCTCCCGTGACTCCTGATGAACATGATTTTCTTATGACAAAGGACAGCACTTCAGTCAGGCCATACCCATCTGTTCACGTTTCGCCATCTCTCTCCTATGCATATGGCCGACAGTGCTAAAATGTAAATCTGAACAACCCGAGCAATTGGAAAAGCATCAATACTGACAAGGTACCACACCGTGTCTATCAAATGCTTCAAGCTGGCTGGTGACTTTTATACCAGAAAACAATTCCTTCCTTCCTCTCCTTTTAACGTGACTTCTCTGTAAAGCATGCTAAAAATACTTACTATAGTGGCATCAGTTTATAGACTTCACCTTAGTCTGTCTAAGGACAGTTAAACCAACGTCACCACTGGCATAATGAGAAGCAATGTGTATTTGCATCTTAATACATTCACATTTCTGATTTCTGGACATTTATAAAGTTGAAGCTTTGTAGTAGAAATCAGGGGGAAAAAACCCAACCTTCTCTAAATGAAGTGTGCTGCCTCTCTCCATTTCTGCAGTTATCAACTCCCAAGTGGTTCATTCAGTGATTCTAAATTAAAGTTGTATCAGACACAAGACCTTCTCTTGCATCCAAATCAGCAAGGCAAATGGAAATAAGAGTATCTACAGCAGCCATGCAGCACACCAGTGCTTCAGTCAGCCATGACCATCCAAGAACCTCTGCTCTCCAAATTCACCAGAGATGTACAGAGCAGACAGTCTATAATATCAATGGGTGACTCAACAGCACACACATAGCACCTCCTTCAGAACTGAATTCTCTTGAGGGGAAAACATGCTTTCACCATCAAGACTATTAACTTGGGGATATTTATTCCTATTTCCCCTACATATACCTCTTCTTTGCCAGTTACACACAGTTAATGACTTAATTAAAATAATTGGTATAGGCCTAAAGCTAAAATTTTTCTTTAATATAGGAGGAATCTCTTATGAGATACTAAGTAAACATCTCCCACCACAATTTCAGATTCAGAAGACAGTTAATTAACTTCTCAACTTTCAAGCCAGTTCAACTTAGTTTTCTATAAGCAATTATTATGAGTTAAATCTTGACACTCAAGGACTGATTGGGATGGAGTGGTGAGAACAACAGAGCAAGTGATGATTCCTGGGTGTAGGAAAGGCATTATATTGATACTGACCATATATTTTTTCCCCTTCTTTTTTCAACTTTAAAGCTTCATATATAATTAAGCTTTTATGTCCACTTCATTTTGATTCCTATATCTCATTTGACAAAATTTTATCTTGCATTGATATGGGCAAGGATTTTTGTGAAGCATGTTAAGGGCAGCGGGCTGTCCTGAGGAGAAAAGGTTATTTGAGTTATCAGCTGAAATCTGCAGAAACGAATGTGGGCTTTCCTACTGACTCTTGTATTTCTGTCTAAATCAAAAGCAAACAGTACAATTCACCATTCCAGCATGGAAACTTCCGCGGGATTCCCCCCCCCCCCCCCCCCCCTCCCGTCACCCAGTTTGTCAAACGACAAAGTTTGCCGCCCTGTTCACTCACCTGTTCAGCTTTCTGATGGAAGATGGAAGACATTTCCAGTAACGTGCTACGTTCATCCAAGGCTGCAGCAAATGCCTTCCATTCTTGCTCCAACTGACTAGCGATCTGTTTGATTTGCTGTGAAGCATAATGGCCAGACTCGACCAGGCGATTTGCTACTGACATGATGCGGTTTATGTTTACATACACATTCTGTGAAGGAGGGAGAAATTTGTGGAAGTTAGCAGACCACTTCTTCTTTACTACACTACTGCTTAATCAAATGTTTTTATTTGCCAAGTTTGTGCATGCCTAATTTGGGAATCTAGGTTTATAATGTAACAGCCTATCTGTATTATTGATGTGGAAGAACAGCTTGAAACAACCACAGAACCTCAAGCTAACAGTCAGCTTAAACAAAGTCATATTATATGAAGACCCATTATTACAATGAAGAGGAAAAGCTAACCACATTTTGCAACAGTGTCAGTAAGAATATTTACAGACCTTCAAGTCAACAAGACATTCAGGCACACACAATACAGGACAACAGAGCATAATTAGAAAGTACTTGATCTACCCATAGTATGCATGTGTGGAACATCACTCTACAAATCTTTATATCAAGTTCTGAAAGTAGTTCTACTTTGTAAGTAACAACATACAGAACTCTGAGTTCTGACGAGTTGAACAGTTTTAATTTTCCTGCCAACTACACTGCCTCAAAGTTAGCACTGGAAACTAGACAAATAAGGTCAGAGATCTGAAAAGATTCTCTAGCATACTGGCATTACTCAGTGATGGCTCTTAGTCACTCTAATTTTCTTTCCTTTTAGCTCGCATGTGCGTTTTGGCCTAAAGTGTCTAAAATATATTCCTGTTCTGATTCCTTATAAACAAGCAATATTTTTTTCAAAGGAAGCAATTGAGTGTTTCTCATTCCTGCAAAACCAGAAACAAGAACAACTTCATCACCAAAAGGTTTCCGAGTAGTTCTTCCCTGTCAGAGCTACACGTATACAATGCTGAGTTGACACTTCTTTCAACTGGGTTGACTCTCACATATCTAGAATGAAGTTCTTAAAATCACTGTGGGTAGATGGATGCAGGATCCATCTACCTTCTCACCAGCAGGAGTGAGAAGAAAACCACCTGGGCACCCATGCCCTTGACCACTGCTTCTGGAACCATGTAGTCACACTTGAGATTTTCCATTTGGAAATCAAAATTTCCATATGGGGCCAAAGTGTTCAGGTCACCCCTCCCTGGCAGTATTGCTGGTGCACACATGGAAGAGCAGCAGCTGAGCAGAGCTGCTGGCCCCTTCTGCATGAACTGCATCCATTGGCTACTTCTGTAAGCTGCACTCCTTCTTGTCTATATCCTAAAAATTTCCATATGGGGCCAAAGTG